GCCACCAAAATCGGAGGGAGACTTCCGCCAAATCTTTCAATTCCCGCTACAGGACCCCTTCAGTGCAAGCACTGATCGGGGAAAAACGCGACGGAAGGTTTTTTTCTCGATCTTCGGCCTCGGGGAACCCTTGCCGGGCCTCGGGACCGTCAAAAATCGACTCAGTGAGGAAAAGCCGGTCCCGGGGAAGGGGGCCAGACGCCTTTTTGGGGTGGACGTGATATGAACAAATAGTGGCGTCGGGGGTCTGGGTCAGCCGCCCCGATACCCCCGTTTTGAGCCGCGGCACGTGTCGCGTTCAGGACTTCGGTGTTGACACGCCGCGTAGCGGCTCGGCGCGCGCTGGTCCACGTGCTGGCGGGCGCACCGCGCCAGGCCTATACTTACGTTGTCAGCGTCCGCGTCGAGCGCTCCGTGCCAACGCGCTGCGTGCTGGGTGCTGCGCATCAGGGCAGCGTGGGGGCAGTGGCGAGGCGTCCTGGCTTGCCGATGGGCCGACCAAATAATGTTCCGAGAGCCGATTGCGGCTGGCACAAGTTGTTCTTAACTCATCTCCGGTTGAGACCCTCTTGTTTTCTTTTTCCTTTTCTGGTCAAAGACCCTCTTGTTTTCGTCCATCGGTTTTGTGCTATCAGAGCCGTGCTCTTTGTCCTTCGAACACTAAAGGGTTCTGCGAACATATCGTGGTAGGCATCCCGGAATGCCGGGACGGCCGGTCGCTGCTCCACATAATTAGGGGGGGGGGCGGGTTTGGGGCGGGATTCGCTCTCGGGGGCCTATCGCCGACTGCCGGCCATGCAGCGGCGCCTCGAGCTCGCTCGGAGTTTCCCCCGTGGAGCCGACGGGGGTCTGCGGTGGCTCAGCGACATCGAGTCCAGCGGGCAAGAGGGGCGGACGGGCTCCAGGCGCGCTGGAACCGGGAAGGTTCTCGTTGTCTTTCTCGGCCTCCGGGGACCCCTTCAACGGATCCAGAGGGCGAGACTTTGCACCTGCGGATGGACCCCTATGAGAGGTCCGCGTACCGATTTGGAGCGGATTTGGCTCCATTCCCCCCCTCCTGACCGATCCGGGGCCCGAACTGGTTCGGACCCCCCGGCCGCCGGCCGCCTCCAATCCCCCCTCCCCCCCTGCTACAGTCGGGCATCTGATCAAGAGACCTCCTCCCGAACAGCTGGGCCAGCGGCTCTGAAGCAACTCGCCGGAAATCTGGCCCGTGTTCTTGAGCACAGCTCGCTCCTCCAGCATCGAGACCAAACTTTGGCCCAGGCCTGTTTGAAGAAACTTCCGGGGGGCCTGCCCAAGTTTCTGAATGATATATATATATATATATAGAGATGTATATATGTCTGTCTGTCTGTCTGTCTGTCTGTCTGTCTGTCTGTCTGTCTGTCTGTCTCTCTGTCTGTCTGTCTGTCTGTATGTATGTATGTATGTATGAATGTATATATATATATATATATATACATAAGTTGCTCGGTGATCTTTTCGGCCCTGCCACTCCTGATCAGAGGCGGCCCGCGCTGCGCAGGCGAGGGCCAGCCCCAGCCCCAGGAGAGGCGCGGTTCCGCCGACGCGGCCGTCGCCAGCGCAGCTGGATCACCGGCAGGACCCGCCCCTGAAGGTTCGCTCGGCGGCAGACCAATGGGAGCCTCGTGTGTTTCAGGAGGGAAAAAAAGACAGACACAATTAATCGTCGATTCCCCAGAAAACATGGGAAAATATGGGAAGTGGGCGGGGGAAAACCAAAAAACCCAGAAAGTATGGGAAAAGATGGGGGTCATTTTTATTCGTGTGCATTTATTTGTGTGTCCTGTGGCCTCTTCACAATGGGAGCCTCGTGTGTCTTCGCAGCTGGCCTCAGCTGCTGCCACGCAGCTCGCAATGCAAGATCTGCGCTGAAGTCGGGCACGTCCCTCTACAGAAGGGAACATTCAGAAACAGTCAAACAATAGCCTGGGGACGATTTCTCTTGTAATTTTTGACCACTGTCGAGCATTGTCTGACTGTTCTTTGTTTGTCGTCCAAAATTCCCCCTGTAGGAGTACGTGCCCGATCTGAATCTGCTGCAGCATCCCCGCGCCGGCTCTGTTGGTCTGAGCGGGCTCCTCCCTTTTTCTCCTCCTCGCGCTCCGTTCTCTCTCGCCTTCGCAAGTACCTCAGTTCGCTCCTGGTGCACCCCACCGCTTGCCTGGAGGCGGGCCTGTCCCTCTACAGGCGGAAAATCAAAAATAGTAAAGAAAAAAAAAAAAGTTTGCGATTTTCCGATTATTTGTGGACCATTTTGAATAGTTTGTGACTTTTGTTTTTTCGTCCAAAATCCGCCTGTAGGGGGACATGCCCGACCTAACGCATGCCACGACCGGCGTCTGACTGTCTTGGACCACTGGTCGCCCGCGGACTCCACAAGTGTGTCCTCGTAGTTCCGTCCTTGATGTGCACCAGCGTGCGCCATAGCGTTCTGGCAATCGATGAGGAGGCGCCGCTTCAGCGTCGATCTCTAGCGTCGAGTAGCGCCGATCCGAGGCAGTTAGCGCCGATTAGCGTCAGCCAGCGTCGATTGGCAAGAGCTGGCGGGATGGGGCAGGGGAGACTCTCACGAGTTGCCATCAGGCCCCTGGAGACCAGGACACAGATAAATCAGGACACGGAAAACCAGGGAAACGACATCCTCTACTGCAACGTCACATGTTTCAGCACCCGTGCATTCTTTGTTTGCTGCACTGCAGGATTCGGGTTTGTGTCCGAGTCTAGGGGGGTCCTGCAGGCTTTTAGGGCCTGTGTCCGGGTTCATTCTGGAAAGGTTGCAGTGCAGTATGTTGCTCGTGCCGCCGACTGGAAAACCTGATCTCGAGAGGTGTTGGGTGTCCGGGTCCAGCGTGTCCAGGCTTACGGGGCCCCGATGCCGCCAAAGGTTCAGATCGGCCGCCACAGCCAGCCGCAGGTGGCGGTGGGCCCGCAGGCCCCGCAGTGGCAGCCGGTGCAGCGAGCTGCGCCGCGCGCGTGGGCCAGCTTTCACGGGTGAGCGGCCGGTGTTTCAAGCAGTGGCGAAGCGTCTTGGCTCGCCTGTAGGCCCACCAAACACTGTTCTGAGAACATGTTGTGGTCTGCACGTCATGTTCTTAGGACAGTTCTGGCTGGGGATGTCTTGGTTTAGCACATCGGGCCTTTGTTCTAAGGACATTCTTGTTGTGGTTAGAACATTTTGGGGTCCTAAGGACATGTCGTGGTAGGCCTATAGGAATGCCGGGACGGTCGGTCCCTGCTCAAGAGCGGTTGGTGTTGGCTCAGCCGAGGGAGCCGCTTGGGCACGAAGAAGCCGGGCTGGTTCTGAGAGGCTATTGCAGCAGCCGATGTGTGTCGGTGAGCGGGCGGGTTGCGAAGGCGACGGAGCAGCACAACCATACCTCGTTGGAGCTCCGCGCAGACTTCTGGGATCGGCTGTGGATCCCCGTCCCCGCCGCGCGGAGCACGCCAGGGTGCGGCGCTGGGGGCGCCGCCAGAGGGGGCCCAGCGCCGATCCAAACCGCGCGGAGTCCCAAAGGCTGATGTTTGCGCCTCTGCTATAATTGACCTAAGCGTGGTAGTTGCATTTTTTGTTGGCACAGGTGGGGGGACAGGTGCATCAGGGGCAACGTTAGGGAGGGGATAGGCTGAGGGGCGGATGCATCCACTCCCGTTCCCCTATATGTGTCGCCGACAGGGCCTGATGGCCCGCTCCGGTCAGAGACGTGCGGTTTTGTTGTCGGGGGCGTATCGCCGATCTGTCGGCGATGCATCGCCGATTTCAGGCCGATGTTCCCCCCTAAAGCCGATCCCCCTATCGTTACCCCTCGGCGTAGGAGGGCGTGTTTGCTCCGGAGCCAGAGCGGACAGGTGGGTCCTCTCGCCAGCAGGGACGTCGGGATGACGTGCGATGCGACGCAGAAGACGAGAGGCGCCCACCTGCCTGCCTGAGAGCGTTTTCAATGCTTTTGCTAGCAGCGGTGCAGAAGTGCCCCCTCGCACTTGCTGTCCTTCCCTTAGGGCCCGATCTGTTTTAATTGGCGCACGAGAAGGACAGGCGTAGGAGGGCGTGTTAGCACCGGGGCCAGAGCGGACGGGTGGGTCCTCCCGCAGGCAGGGGGTGTTGGGATGACGACGCAGTCAGCGACACGCGGAAGACGGGAGGCACCCACCTGCCCGCCTGAGAGCGTTTTCAATGCTTTTGCCAGCGCCGGCGCATAAGTGCCCCCAGGCGTCTGTTCTCGCATGTGCTACCCTTCCCTCGCGGTCCGATTTCGCGCCGCTGCCATCCGCCTCTTTCCCTCCCAGAGTTGCTGCATTTGTCTGCAACCGCGGGTAACGCCTGACGCTCGGATCGACGTGTGAGTCGGGCACAGGGTGGTGTGTTCGTCTTCCTGTGTTAGTTGGCAACAGAGCTGCTGGAGCTTCTAACCCGAACCCGAAGGGTATCGTGTGGACACGTTGACGTACAAGTCACCATACGTACGACGTACGGACATTCCGCGCAATCGCACCGGATCAAATTGGCCAATTTCTTGGTTGTTGCAGGCGCACGTGTTTTTCAAACGATTTGGACGTAAGCGCCAGGAAGCTCATTGTTGCATGATGAGCCGCATTTGATGCAGTATGTGCGATCGGGCAGTCGGCAGTCGGCGGCTTGCAGTGGTGATGCGAAGCTTGAGGCTTTGCCGACCTCATCAAGCATTTGTCGAGTGTGACTTCCAGGCCACCTCCACCGATGGCCTGTCGTGGTTGGTTTTTGTTGGTGGTCTGTGGCGGTTTGGCGATGCAGGGGCTGACGCCCTCCAACCGCAGCACGTGCAAGTGTTCGACCGAAAAACAAACAACACGACCCCACCTACGGCCCTGCATGTTGCGCTGCGGCCCATCGGGCGCCGCAGCGTACACCACGCAAACTTCAACTCCAGATCTCCTGGAAATGCGCTACGCCTCGTGGGGCCGTAGGTGGGGTGGTGTCTCTTGCTTTCTGGCCCGAGTGTTCGTCGCAGGTGCGGGAGCGACCAGAATTCGACAAGCTCTGAGCTGCCCGTTTGAACCGGCAGGCGGCATCCCCTGCGCCGACAGGGCCCCCGGGGGGGGGGGGAGCGAGCGGCCTGCCCTCGGCGAGGTGCGCGGGGGCGGCTCTGCGCGCGAGGAAAGTAGCCCCCCCCCGCATGGACCTCCCCAGGCGAAGGTGGAAAACGCCATAAAGACATGCTGGCGCTCCGCGCAGATTTCTTGGGTCCGCGCGGGCCGGCGGCGCCTCCGGCGCCGCCCCTGGCGCGCTCCGCGCGCCAGGGAAGGGGGTCCGGCGCAGATCCAAGAAATCCGCGCGGAGCGCCCAAAAGTTTATGGTTGTGGCGTCTTTTCTTCTTCTACCGAGGGCGGCTGGAGGGGCTGCTCCCAGGGTGGCGCGCCTCCCGCGAGCAGCGCCCCCGAGGCTGCCCTCGGGCGGAGGGCCACCCAGCCTTCCGAGTTGAGCCCCGGGCGGCGCGTCGACGACGACGACGACGACGACGACGACGACGACGACGACGACGACGACGACGACGACGACGACGACGACGACGACGACGACGACGACGGCGACGACGGCGACGGCGGCGACGGCGACGACGACGACGACGACGACGACGACCGACGACGACGACACCGACGACACCGACGAGACCGACGACCGACGACCGACGACCGACGACCACGACGACATGGCCGTGCCTTCGAGGATCGAATGTGATGCCATCTCTTCCTCGGCGCAAGGCGGCGGAAGGGCGGCAGAAGGTCGGCGGAAGTAAAACGAGGCCGTGCCCCCAAGAGATGACAACATTTTTTGGGGGTCAGGGTTTCCAGAATCGCCCATCTCGGGTGCCCTCGTGTCCTTGCCTCAGCGGCCCGTCCTTTGCCGTTTTCGCTGGTCGCCCGCCGCCCAAACGAAATCCCAACTGCGGCCTCCAAGGCTCCTGCGCCCTAACCACCCGTCCTTGATACACATTTTGATCGCAAGGGGGGGGGACTTTTCAATGGAGGGGGTGATGGAAAGGGCCCTATAGGGCCCGCTCGGGCCCCCTGTGGACCCTGTTGGCTCCCCAACGGGGCCCCTGCAGGGCCTTTTCCTTCGCCCCCCTTGTAGGTCACTCCCCACTGCCGCCCACCCGAGCCGAGGAAGAAGCGCCACTATCCGGCAACAAATAAATCCTCGTCCTCTTCCTCCTCCTCCTCCTCCTTCTCCTCCTCCTTCTCCTCCTCCTCCTCCTCCCTCTTCCTCCCTTTCCTCCTCCTCCTCCTCCCCCCCGCCCGCTTCGCGCGCGCGGCCCCGCCTCCGCCTGCTATTACCGCCAACATGTCCACGATCACCATCATAACCAACGCATGGACATCATCATCATCGCTATCGTCGTGACAGCAATCTGCACCGTCACTGGCATTGCCGTCGTCATCGTCATCATCGCCGTCATTATCGCGACTGACATGGAGGTCGTCGCCATTGTAGACGTCATCATGACTTCGCGCCCGCCCGAGTCCCCGACCCGCACTGAAGTGCCCGTGCGCCAGCGCGACCTTTGAGACGCGCTGGGCAATGACCATCAGAGAGCGTCAACGCGGCCGCAGTACTTGTGTCGAACCACCCGGGTGCCCCGCGCGCGAGCGCACCAGCGCGGCCGCAGAGGCGCGCTAGCACGTGCCAGGCCGCAAGTGCAATCGTGGCCACATGGGTTTGGGCAGACACGTTGTGGGTGAGAGGGTGGGGCGTTTGCGCGAACAGGGGGGTTGATGGAGTCAACGCGTCATTGTCGGATTGGTGGGTTTTCTTTTCGGAAGAGAATGCCCGGCTTGCCGATGCACCCTGGAATAGTGCATGTTGCATTGGGTTTTGCCTCATCGTTCATTTTCCACATGACTTCCTGCCGTCCCAGGTTGAACTGTATCAAT